GAGGCTCTGACCAGATCCCGGCTCTGCTTCCTTCCCTCTGGCTCTGGGTTCCGTGTCCCTCCACCCTCACCGCCAGCAGCCCAGCAGCTCGTCCCAGAATTGAGACTCTTCACCATCATTCCTCAAGGCAGCGCCCTGTCCTACATCTCTGTTTGGACCACACGTTCAGGACTATTCCAGAAGAACAGGGAGAGAGAGAGAATATATATATATACATATATATATATATATCTTTGGGGTTCAGCCTGCTGAGCAGGAGCTAGGGTCAGCTGTGGGAACGAAGTCATCTTGACACCCACCTGCGGATGAACTAGGAGCTTTTATTGGTTCTTCTGAGGAATCATTTGCCATCCTGTGGGCGGAAAGGCCCTTTGCTTTTTTAAGCTACTTGTCTTTTTTCTTGTCTTTTTACTTTTTGCCTAGGGGAAAGCCAAACACCCTTTTTCTTTTCTTTTTGCAGAACTGAAACCTGCCGATAAATTGACATGAGAGATGCTCAAGAGGAGCAGACAGCCAGTGGTTGTGAAGTTGCATACCTGATCTAAGGTAAAACTTGCAGAAAACCATGTCCATGATCCCTGAAATGTCAGGAATGTCTTTGCTTTTGGGGACAGTTTTTGCCGATCTCTGTGCCATTTTTGCCAATCTGGAAATACCAGTTCTTTGGCCAAGAGGAGAATAGCCAAGGCCCTACCTCCTGTCTACGGCCTGTGATGCTCCGAGATTAAGTGCTCCAGTACATTTAAGCTCTTGAAAAGCAACGATCAAATGAGAAAAAAACAAGTGTGAATACGCGCCATGCCTTAAAACCTTTGCATGCTATTTGCACGGCGTGGAGGAAGGCTGATGAGGAGAAGGAAATGAGCAGCTAATCCGGGGCTCCTGATGAAGGTGGCTGCTCCCAGGTGCTGGGCAGGAGTTTCGGGTGAGCTACGTGGATGCACGCGACGTGCTTGCACCTTCCACACGCAGCAGAACCAGCCCACAGAAGACGATGAGACTTCTTGGGCTCTGCAGAGCCAAGGAACATCTCCAAGAAGCGCATCCAAAGCTAAGCATGCGCCAGCACGACCATCTCCCTGCTCAACCGGCCTGGAAGGACAGTTGTGGACAAGGTTTCCTTGGATGCTCTTAGCTGTTGATCAGGTTGCACCAGGTCTTGGTTGGACCAAATACAACGCAATTGCATGTCCTGAACACCTTGAGTCCAGGTGCTGAGCGAAAGGCCAGACACCAAGACCATTGCAGCAGGTCTCCCCGCTCTCCTGCTTGCACAGGCACGTCAGCTCTTTGCAGGAAGCCGTCCCTACCTTGAGCAAAAGCAATTAAAGCATTTCACTTGAAAAAAAAATAAAAAGAAAATCCTGTCTGCATACGGGTGGGGGGGAAGGAAGCCATCAAGCGAACAGCTTCAAAGAGAAAAGGTCAGCAAGGCAGCGAGGATGGATTAGTAAAGGACAATGCAGCAAAGGCCTGATTAATTTAATTGCTCATCTGAAACATAGCCACAGATTAAAGGAGGATGAGGAAATTATAAGCATGTGAATGGAGCCAAGTGATGATTTCAAGGCAGAACATGCCCAGAGCCTCCCCCAGCACAGCCATACAAGGAGCGTGTTCAGGGATTGCGCTACTGACTCCTGCCTCTCACCCCTCGTCCAAGGGGAGGATGGCAAATGCTAACAAACATTCAAGTAGCTGCAGATTGGCATCACTGATGGTGACATAAATTTAGCAAAGACTTTAAAGCTAAGTGTACGCCCAAGCCTGCAAGGACACTTAACACGAAAACTATTTGGGCACGGAGGCACCCGGCAGAGCTGAGGTTGTCACGGTAAAAACAGATTTACAGCACCGTGGCTCAGCCTACACGCTCCACACCCAGGCATAGCCTTGAAGGAGCAACTACTGAGTGAGCTTCACAAAGCAGAAATCCATTTCCACTTGGCTTAAAAATGGTCTAAATGTGATCTCTGTGTATGTACATTCAATACATCACGTGTCCAAACACCCCAGAACCAATATTGATAACTAGAAAGAGACAGAAAGAAAAAAAAATCCCAGGAAATAAAGTATAGGAAGCACACACAAGTTAGTTCAAAACAGTATTCCATTCTTGTTTTGACTTTCTTAAAAGAGGGCATTGTGTTTGGCAATATAAAATAGCCCTGAAAACAAGCAGCTTTGAATGGGAACTCAAACTATTCTATGAAGGCCAAATATACCTCATCAGCATCCCTCATATCAATATTGCAAAGAGAAGTCAGAAACTTTTCATCTAAATATGCTGCCTGAATGCCATGATTCTCATCACTTTAGGTATTCAGCAATGGCCAAAACACTTGGTAAATGGTCCAAGACCAACAGGCACTATTTTTTGGAGATCTTCTTCCTGCAGGACACAAGCTAGAGAGCTGTATCCTAGAATTTGTACAGCAAAGAGACTGACTTATCCCCTCCTTCTAAACAACAACAGCTACTAAGGTTAGCAATTCTGGAGAAACCTTAATGTGCTCATTTAAAAGGCATTTCTCTTGATTTGAGAAGTCTAAGTGATGGGAGAACTTATCCCTTCGGCTGAGCTGCTTCAAGTGTAAATGACTGTCATTGCTAAGAGGGACTATTATTTTTCTTTGAATTTCTGCACTTGGTAAAAGGGAGAACTGTCTCACCTTAACCTTCCCATTGCGGAAATGCTTCCTCCAAGTCAGCCCTCAATCATCTCCTCAGCAAGTGGAGTCGTGTCAGGAAGAGTCAAGGCCTGTAAGGGCCTCTGTGCAAAATTCATCTTTCAAACCCCAGCCTGTCCTTGCAGTTCATTTCTACCTCTCTCATTTTTTCAATATTATTTTCAAAGCATGAAAATGCAGGAGAATAAAGTTTTATAGTAAATCCCCCAATTTAAAACTAGATGCTGCAAGATAACTATTTCCAACAGTCTAGCATGATGGCACACACTGAAATATTTTGGTGTACCAAAGCTTCAGGTATTTGATCAGGGGAGAGGAGGACGGCGCAGGATCAGGGGCCATAACATGTTCAGAAAGGTCTAAAGCAACAGGACCTCAAGGAGCCAGGAGTGACTGGGCAGGAGTCAGGGGATGTGGGAATATTATTTTCCCTCATTCCCTTTGCACGAGACAATCCGACAAGTGACCCAAAGCCTGGGAAATAAACACTGGCACAGACGTGAACGTTTACCATTCAATGTATTATTCCCTTGTGTACAAAGTATTTTGCTTCTATAATAGGCACACAGGTATTGAAATACGATGGCAAATGCAGAAAGACCATACAGACGTGTCTTACAGTTTTTTTTTTCATTTCCTTTTGAATATAATCAGAGAGAAAAGAAACACTGTACAGCAAAGTGCTTACGAAAAAAAAATGTAGAAAAATAATGGCATTGATATACAAGGCCCAGAATTGTTTCCTGAACAAGGAATGTATCTGGTTCTCAAAGCTTGTTCCTATTTAATGAAACCCATTAATATTTCAAAAGATCAGGTTCTATCATTTCCCCACCCCCTTTTTTTATTTTTTAGGTTTCTCTTGCTCTGTTAATAACCGTTATGAAACAATATGGTAGAAAGGAATGTGTACAGGTCTAAATAATACTTTTTAAATATAAATAGCCATTCACTTCATTAGCGAAAATATAATATGCCTGTACTTTCTAAGCACCAATGTTTATCCCTAAAGTTCATAGTGCAATTTTCCCTTTTCCCCTATAGAAGTTATACATGAGCAATAATTATTAAAAAAAAATCACTATTCCTTTACTATTCCTTTCCCTTTTTTTTTTCTTTGAAACAGTATTTTTGGCATTTTCTCAGAAACGCATAATTTATTACTGCTACCCATAAGCATACAGAATAGGTGAGATATCAGTCTTTCTAACATACGATGATACCACTTATTTTATGTACTATAAAACAACAACACCAAAAAAAAAATTACGAGCAAGATAGTCTCATTCCCTCTTGTGCGCACGGCGGAGCTGTGCAGGGACACACGAGTGTGTGCAGAGCACCATTTCCCGGGAATCTTAGCATTTACGGCTCTGGATCCTGCTGCTGGGCCACAAAGCGATTCCCCGGCCTGTCACGAGTGACGGGAACAGCGTGGCAGCAGATGAAAGACTCACGAGAGACCCCGAAGGTTGGGATATTTTAAGTAGCTGCACCTCAACTTCAGAGACTTATCCAAATCAGCAGATAAGCCTCTTTGGTCTTCCAAAAGACTAGCAATTTTTTGCTAAAAAAAAAAAAAAAAAAGAGAGAGAGAGAACAGAAAAAACCCCAACCAAACTTAGGCTTTGGGCTCCTCCTTGCCCCCGAGCGTGCAATGAATGGACACTATCTTCCTATTGCTAAGGCAAAACACAGAGAAAGATACAGGACATAGTCATAGACTACAAAAATAACCTGGTCACATCACCCCCGTTCGCAAGCTAGCGGAGCCGTAAGCGGCAGGCTATGTACAGGCGAGGCGGCGCTCGCTCCCTGCATCCCGGGGATGCGCCGCGAGCGCCGGGGCCTTTCCAGGAATGTGGGCAGTGATGCAGGATTAGGCATCGGGATCTGTGAGCACCGAGCGGTCTTGCTGCAAGCAGCCCTGGCGCCGCACGCATGGACTGCGCGCGAGCAGGAGGCATCGGGTGCCCTTGTGTCCCTGCACGGGTCCCCGATGCCACCCTGCTCGGTGGGGAGCGTGAGCGGCTCCTCGTCCCGTTCTGGCAGTGATTCCTGTATGGAGCAGCCCAGCGAGCATACGGCCTCGTCAGGCTCTCTCGGATGCGCTAGTGCCCCCGCTTCCAGATGGAGCTCGGAAGCACCGCGGCACATGCAATTAGCAGAGAAATTCACTCTTTTCCTATTTTTCCCCCGTTTTTTCCCCCCAAAATGAAAGCTCATTCAGCAGACCTACAAAAAAAAGGGGGTTCAACTTTGCAATCTGTTCTCATGAGTTTTCCAAAATGGATGGTCAATATTTATTGGAACGGGCTGCCTGTTTTTTTTCTGCTTTCTTCCTGTTTTCACTGGTAAAGGCACTGGATTAAAGTATCTACAACTACAGAGTGTTAATAAATACCATGTTAGCACCAAACCAGTGACTCTTAGCACTGGCCACAGAGGTCATGTGAAATTCAAAACATACCTAGAAGATAAAGATTGCTAATGCAACTAGCACTGTATTCATTGTCATGTTTTCCTTGAGTGCTGTCGGCCTGATTGCTAAAATAAAATTTAAGCACATCTTGTCTATTTTCCTTGCACAAAGACAGATTGAAATGCCAAAAATACCCCTATGCAGATTGTGTAGCACCGTTAAGGGCCAGAGCAGCCCATAACCGAAGGAAAATTACTGATTGAAAGTAAACAACTGAATACAGTGACAATAAAGTATCACTTGTCATAATGCTACATATAATGTAGAGTACGTAAAATGCAGTGGTTTGACTGCAGGATTTAACAATAAAAAATTAAAAATAGGAAAAGCAGCCTTAATATAATGATTTTACGTACAAAAATATTAAATCAAAATAAATAATTCCAAACATAAATATTATACTGTACATTAAGAATATGCAATCTATATACACACATAAACAGATTTTTTTAAAAAAAGTGGAAGGCAGAGGTATTGCATCGCTATCCTTCATCCATCTCAGCTCAGCTGTCTGCTTGCAGAGACCCTGGAAAACAGAGACAAGCTGTACATTAGAGAAAGATCATCAGCTTCGTCTTCAAAACCCCTAAGCGCCGAGATGGAAATGAGAACAAGGCTGCCTGCCCCGATACCGGAATGCTGGAACGGTTTCCATAAGGCACTGCAGCATCTAGCAGTTCGGCACAACTGTTTGGGCATTTTTTGAGAGTATTACACAAAAACCCCAGTAACCACAGGTTTAAGGCACAGATCCCGAAGAGCTTCTCAACCCTTGCTCCACTGGCTTTCCGTGAGGCTCAAGAACCTAAACTGTAGGTCTAATGATGAGCAGATTTGGGGAAATCAGACACTTCTGAAAACATTGCCCAATCTGTTCCTCTCAGAGGACATCCTTGCAAAGGCTTCCCCTAATTCAGAGAGGTCTGGGAACCTACCATTGCTATAACACTTGAACGTCAAGGCCTGTTCCGGACGATGGAGTACATTTTCCACAGTAACCGCCACATTTTCCTACTACTTTGGTACCATCCTGCAGGCAAAATCAGAAATAATATCTCACAGCAGGGTAAACGCTCAAGAACATCGTGCTGCTAAAGGTCCAGACATGGGTTATTCTAGTCAGGATTTTTAATAGAAAATGTCTTGGGAAGAAAACAAATTATGCACCAAACCCATTACAAAATCAGGTTATATTTAAATGCATGCAAATGTAATTGCCTTTAATACTACCAGGTCAGATGGTGAATGCAAATAAGAAAGGGCATTTTTGATTTATCACATGGAAACATGTTCAAGGAGAAGGCCATTTGAAGGGAAAACTCCAGAACATCCATCTGCCTTCTCTAAATTGCCCCCACAGTGAGTGACTAGTTGTTAACTCATGCAGGAGAAAACACATCTGGACAACAACAGCACCTGACTTGTGACAGGGCAAGGAAAGGGTATTTGAAGACATTAACGAGAAAAATCCATGAAGGTTGAGACCAAGGAGAGCTTGGAGCAGTGCTTGGGATAGCTCCAGTTTTGAGTCGATAGATTAATACTGGCATAAGTGAGATCTACATCTGGCCTTCCTTTTGGCACCTCTGTGCAGTCTTCTCGAGGAGAATTCAACCCTCAATTACCAGAAAATTGGGCTTAAGTGCAAGACAAGCTTGCTCAAAGCATTTATTTCTAAACGAACTCCATGCTGTCCTTGACACTATTGATCAGTGATTGCAGCAGGCTGCTATCATCTTTTCTTGCTATTCCCTTCTTTCTCCTGCTCCTGCCAGCAATTACGCCTGTGAAGCGGCGCTTGACAGATGTCACCGAGTGATCAAGGTAAGAGTCATCTCTTAGACTCCCTGTCCCTTATGGTTCAATTTAATTCTGACAGCCGTATTTGTGTCACTCTTGTCTCTGCAGCCCCAAGTCAGCTGCGCTGGCTTCTCCTTTCTGAAGGGGAGAGGAAGAGCACAGCAACTCCCAAAACTCCCCTGGGGGGCATCTTGCTGGCCCCAATGTAACTGCATGGGAGGATTTTTTAGCACAACGTGATCTGACCAGCAACATCCAGTTCTGTTGAAAACAGTCCTTTAAGAGCCCCATTGGCAAGGGACTCCCCAGAGCCATGGAGATGGAGAGGACTGGACTGGGTCATGGACGATAGCTCCAGGTAATGCTACTTGACTAGGTGATCTCCAGAGGTCCCTTCTGACCTCATCCACTTTGATTCCGTAAAAACTGGGGTGACTCTGATCTCTTGCAAGGAGATGAGATGGAAGGCACATGTGCCTTGTATTTTATTAGTCATATTTTGGAACAACTCACTTGGTACTTAAGACCCTCTCTTGCAAGACAACAGTTGGTCTTGTCAAGTCCTGCCTATCATTTTTAAGCAAACACCTTAAGCTCGCAGCCCACCCCAGTGCTTCGTGCCTCACTTTATGGGGACTGTTCTGCACCCAAATGCAGCCAGTGAAGCCAGTCCCGCACGCTGCGCACGGGCTCCTTGCTGGACAACTCAGACAACTAATTAAAGACATGTCAGCCCCACAGCGCTCAGTGTCTCCAGCTTCACGGTTAAGCAGGCTCACTAATTAACTGCAATAATTCAGATGGAGTTAAACCCGCCAGGGCCACCCCCCACCTCGCCTACAATTATGAGTGACACTTCATTTCTCATGTCGGATGTTGGATTTTTTTCTTTTTTTTTAAATGGTCTTCACTCAGAGGAACGCTGCTATGAAAGACAACGTGACCGGAGGCAATTAGGAGCTTCCCTTTAGCAGGTGTGAGTGCCATGAGAATTAAAACTTACGGGGGATTTCTGAATTTCCGACACCGCGTAATTCCCTTGCGAGAGCCACTTGGCCGTTCCTGTTAGCGACAGGCCCGTTCCGTAGAGGTCGATGCTGAAGCGACCCTAAAAAAAAACAAGCAGAGAAGCCTGATTAGCTCCAAAGTGACCAGCCTTGGGGCACGGCACACAGCCTCGCTGCAGCTTGCCGCCGTGTCGCTTTTCCAACACAATCTCATGGGCAAAACTTGCAATTTTCCATAGCTCTGAGAGCGGTTAGCCAGTATTGTACAAATCGCAGCATGTCTCGCGTTAGGAATTTCTTCTCGACTTTGTGGCTGCAGGAAAGGAGGGGCTTTTTTCTCCATATTTCAGTGCCTTTTTTTTTTTTTTTCCCTAGGTTTTCCACTGCTTTTTCTCGCTCTGCCAGCTGAGGGCATCCTTGGCTTTCCCATGGCAGGCTGTGGTGCCTGATGCTGCAGCAGCTGCTGGGGACAGTCCCTCCACTCTTCCTTCTCCCTCCTCACCTGGAGAGGGCATGCTTGTCCTGGTTTTACACTGGCCGTTTTTTCATTTATTTATGGAGTAAACAGTGGCTATTTTATAAATAGCAGCTTCAGTAAAATCAAAATTCTCTTTCTCTTTCTTTTCTTAAAAAGATCCTTCACTTATTTGCTCTTGTTCGCAAGATGCACAAAATGGATGGAAAAAAAAAGAAGGGTCACGTCTACATCCAATGTAGATCCTCCCCAAAGTCTCCCTTCTTTCTTCCCACGAGTCCTGTGTCAGGATGCCCCTTTCCAGACAGGATGAGGGATCCTTTGGCCTTAGTCCTAGGCTGACCTAGAGCCCACCACAGCCATGTGGATGCTGCAGATTACCCGACACCCCTTAGCTTTGCTCCATGCACTTGCTGCCTGGGGAAGGCTGATTTTCAGCTGGCAGCAAACTGGTCATGTGGACACATATTGACACGCATGAGCCTTCCCAAGGTAAGAAGTCAATCCCAAAGCCGCTGAGCTGTGCAGAGTCATGCCAGCTGCAAAAGGATGGAGGAAAGGAGATGGAGAGATTTGCCCTCTGTGGTCTGTTGCTGTGAAAGGCAAATTTCTTCCAAGCAACTGGGCTAGACAGATGGTTATTGGAGCATTTCCTAGGCTGTAGGAACAGTGCCTGTCCCTGTGAAAAGCAGTCCTGTCCCTGCTCCTCCCAATCTGCTGGGACACTGAAGAAGATCTTTTTGCAGGTCCCACTGGATGCCTGGTAATAACTCCAATTCAGTAGGAAAATATTGAAAGTACTTTCCATACAGACAAAAAATTTCAGACAGCCAAGATGAGAATGTGACACTCACTGGAGTCGGGGTGACATGATCAAGAGTAATTAATAGAGGGCTGGACATAATAAATGGCAGCAATGCCTAAGAACCACTGTCGTCAAATACCTGTGGGCATTTAGCTGCACTGTAGCAGTCCCCAGCAGTGGCGTAAGGAACAGGTCGTCCATCATGTGTCTGTGCAAACTGCAAATCAGTCGCTGTGGAAAAGAGTTGATCAACAAAGAGGAAAGGGAGATGCAGGAAGACAGAAAGATGAAAACATGTAAACAGGCTTTTTCACTAATGCCTAAATCCACTAGAGCTGGTTTCATACATTGATCCTCAGAGTCAAGATCTCATCTGCTGGATTTTTAATATTAAACCCTGAAATCATCACGCATGTATCTCTAGGCAGGTGAGAAGTCTCACTGAGTTTAATGGGATGCTCATATGCTCACATGCACAGGTCTATGCAGGTACACCAGCAATTTAGGGCCTGGGTATAAATAACAACAAAACTAGAACCCATGACTTGGGTTATATTGCTCTATCAGAAAACTTCCCAGTGATTTGAACCAACCACATACAAAAAGGACATGAGACTTGCTAAATCTTCTTACTAAATAAAAGCAAAACACTGCCTCAAAACTTGTCCCGCATCTGCTTCCAGACCTGCGGTCTCTATGTCCCAGTCAACAGAGACTGAGTTTCAAAGGGAATTTGGGTATTTTGCTCTGGATGGCTCTTAACAGACTCATTTAGATGGGGATTTGAGATAGCTCTGCCTGACAGAGGTAGGTGCCCAGCTCCTTTTGAAATGCAAAGAGAGGTGGTATCAAATTCCCCCGGGGGGTAGTTCCCTTGGGATCTTTCCAGTGGAGCATTTACAGACTGTTAGTAGCTTTTTGCAGATTAATAGTCTGGGAGGTCTCATGGCTTGAGAACAGGGTGAGAAGCAACTATGGGATAAAGAGTCACTTTATAAGAGACAACTGAGCTGTTAAAAAAATCTCCCCTACGCTATGTTGTGTATTTGAGATATTCGCTGGAAATTGCTGAAGTGATCAAAACTCTATCCCTAATGCATGCTGCTGGTTCCTCCTGGGATTGGGAAGATGCTCCCAGCTTGCACCAATGCTGGTGGGAGTGACAGGCTTATGAATTATATTGCAGAACTGAAGTCCAGTCTGCTTTTTCCATTTTTTTCCAGTGCAAAGTCTGCATTGGAAAAAAATGGGTAAAATGCATTCCTCTGTCCTTTACGTTTGGCCAACAGTCTCCACAGCACCAATGCCAGCACCAGCCAGGAGCAGCGTCCCCGGTCCCAGAGGTGGCATCTGATGCAAAATGGGGTGGGGGAGCTGCTCCTCCCTGGTTGTGTTTGAGGTCTGAGTCTGGTCTGATAACAGGATGCTAAATGAAACAAAATCCTTCCAAAAATCAACTCATCTGCTGGGAGCACACAAATTATTATTCACAAATATTCGTTCTGCATAACAAGTGCAGCAGCAACTGTCATAACTTCTTTTTCCTGTATTAGGGGGAAATAATAGCATTTCTGATTTATGCAAGGTATCCGCTCTAGGCATGAAGCAGGAAACCAGTGACCGAGTTGGAAAGCAGCTCTGCAACAGGAGAGCTCAGGCACATTGCTCGCTAGACCGCTTCTGTTGGCTTGCAGTTACAACTAGAGTTGTGTAAAATAAACATTTTTTTTTAATGGTGAGGCCCTGTGTTTACTCACTTATTATTTGCATAGTGTTCAGGTCCAGCCTTACTTTGCTGAAGGTGGAAAACCCAGCTGCTGTGTAATCTTTCCTACACTGGCAGTCTTCGCGCCGGCTCCCGTTATACGGACACTCGGTTGGGTTATGTAACCTGAATCGAAAGAAAACCCTTCCTAGGCATGACGGAAACAACCTTGCCGTGGCAAAGCAAAGCCCCATGAGGGTGGGAATTACAGGATTTCTTACCTGTATCCATACACTTCTGAAAAATTCTCTGTGTCCCCATGCACGAGGGTCACGTACTCCTTCGGACTGTCCGTCTGCATCCCAGAACAATAGACCTGAACAACAGACAAGCCACAGTTTGGCCATGCATCGCGTGCCGAAGGATGGCCTTGAGAGCTGAGGGTAGACAGGGTGAAGATGGAGGTAAAGAGCACAAATAGGGGCCTCTTGCACTGCCAATCAGTCTGTTGTCAAAAAACGCACCTTTAATGTCTTGCCTTTCACTTGAAGGTAATATTCGCCATCCTCAGTGACACCTTTGAGATTTTTAACGTCTTTGCAGCTCCTGGGTAATTCACCTGAAAGAGAAGAGAAATACATGTATTCACAGAGCAGCTGTATATCAAATTTCTTCCATGAGGCATCTAAAGCACCAAACCAGCACGTTTCTTTATAGGAAATTTCCTCCAAGTGCCCTAAAAGAGAAGGGAAATACATGTATTCACGGAGCAGCTGTATATCAAAATTTCTTCTGTGAGACATCTAAAGCACCGAAACAGCACGTTTCTTCATAGGAAATTTCCTCCAAGTGCCCTAACGCTGTGTCGCAAAGGTCCCACATCTCTGGGAGTTCAGCAAACACTGAAGCCACAAGGGAAGGTGCAAATCCACAGACTCACAGTCGTGGACATTGTGGCACGTCCTCCTTTCCTCAGGTTTCAGATCCATGTGGCACAAGCCGCTGGCCTGGTCGTCGTTGGTTAAGCACTGCACCGAGCGGTGCATGACTCCAACGCCGCAGGTCACGGAGCACTGCAAGATAAGCATCTGGGATTCAGGTTTTGCCCCATGGCTTGGTGGGCTCTGTCCCAGAAAACAGGACAGAGATGGTTTCTGTTGCACTAAAGGTGAGCGGCGCAGGCACCAGTCCAGCAAAGCTTTCAAACACAGTCTTAATTTTAATCATAGAAACAATTCCTTTGATTATTAATCTTTTCATTGTTATAATCATTAATTATTTCAAGAAGACTACCATGCTAATTTCAAGCTTAGCACATAGATACTTCGCAGGATAAGGCAATATTAGGTAAGGTGAACCATGCGCTCACGCAAAAATATTCATCCTAAAGCAGGATGAACACAGATGCTTCCCGAGGGGCATCTTGGTAGCCCTCCATGATTTATTCTTTCAGTCACTGAGATTAAAAAAACAACTCTTTCTAAGGGTAGTATGTTAGACAACCATGAAAATGAAGATGCTTCTCTTTAGAAGCACAAAATTGACCTCAGTGCATGACGAGACACTATTCATCAGTTCAGGTTACAGCCTGGCATTTACTCTTTATGTGTCCCACATCCAAAAATCTTTTAACAAAAGAGCAGAGCAAGAGCTCTATATTTGCCCTTCAAAGGTGAGGGTAACTCTAGTTAAACTCCTTTGAAAACCAGAGATGAGAAGGGTCATGGCACATGGTCACTGATACCTTCAGGAGCCCAAACCTAGGAGGAAGAACTTGCTCTCTGAAATGAATACCCCTCTCAAGGAGGTTTTGTTAACGAGGTCCTGTTGGAAATTTTACCCTGAAATATGGTGAGGGGCAATGCCAGTTCATGGAAACGGAGTCTCTTGCTGTAACTTCTCCGCCCCAGTTTGCAGTGAGAACCTGAGACTTCCTACGGGCAGGAGGAACTTATGTTTCAAACAGCTCCACCGCTTCCTACGACACCTTGCACTACATTTTGCTCAACTTGACCCTTAGTGCCTTGTAAAAGTCTGACAAATTCCTACCAATACCTGAGCTGCGTTAATAAATCAAATTTATGGGAGAAATGCTACATTTCAAAGGATGTCGGAAGCTCAAAGACGTGAAATGTTATAGCTTTGACTAAAATCTGATCTTGTAGTTCAGTCCTGGGAATGACTTGGCACAAATAACTTTAACAGAAAGGCTTAGTTTTCTCCTGCCTTGTCCCAGTATGAAAGAGAGAAAGAGAGAGAGAGAGAAACAGAGAGAGAGAGAAAGAGAGAGAGAAAGAGAGAGAGAGAGAAAGAGAGAGAGGGGGAAAGAGAGAGAGAGGAAGAGAGAGAGAGAGGGGAAGAGAGAGAGAGGGGAAGAGAGAGAGGGGAAGAGAGAGAGAGGGGAAGAGAGAGAGAGAGAGAAGGAGAGGAGGAAGGATATATTAAGGATCAAATGACCAGCATTTTGCAGCATTTTGGCCTATGGGTGGTTCCCAAGTCTTACACATGGACAAGCAGGATCAAGCCACCAGCTTCACTATTTTAGAATTGCAAAAAAAAAAATTGCAAAAATCTCTTTTGCAAAAAAGATTCGCCTTTCGAACAAGACGCGCCCGACTTACGCTGCCCCAGTTGCCGACGCGCCAGGACGCCGAGACGGGGCACTCGCCGAGGTAGCAGGGCTGGATGTTGGGCGGCTGCGTGCCGGGGCAGTGGACGGTGTTCTGGTAGCCGTACTCGTAGTGGTCCTTGCCCGTGTAGATCTCGCTGCAGGACACGAGGCGCTGCCGGTAGCCCTTGCCGCACGTCACGGAGCACTGCGGGGACAGGCAACGTGTCCCCCTGCGGGTCCAGCTGCCTGTCCCTACACCCAGGACACCCCCGTGGGTCGCGTGCAGCGGCCGCTGCTGCCCGCGCGCCCGCGCTCGTCCACGCACAGCACCCGGCGGCGCCGCGACGCCTCCCCGCACGTCTTCGTGCACTGTTTGCAAGAGGGAAAAAATGAAATAAAGAGGAAAAACACCCACAGAACGGCTCCACGCTCGACCCCTCTCACCGCTGTCATGAGTGTTGGAGGATGCTATTAGGAGCTGCCTGTGTTGTCCAAGTATGATGGCTCTGCTAGGTCCTCCAGAGGCTTGAAGGACCTAGACCACTTGCCGCTTGTCTTGGGCAAAAAATCCCAAGGTTCTGCAGTTCCTGCCTCCCAGGAAAATCCCAGGATCATGTAGTTGTTCCCGACTCCTGGGAAACCCTCACTCTGCATCTGGGAGCACCCAGTGCATCTCATGAAACCACCAGCAAAACCAAATAACCAAGGGGAAGAGCAACTAGCTGGATAAAACTGTGGTTTTGTTTAACTTATCAACCACAAGAGGCTGCCAACGCTTGCAAGTAACAGAAATAATGGGCAGAAGAATGAGTGAAAGCAATCGTTTTATGGAATGTGCAGGAAATTTTTTTTTTATTTGAGCAAAATTGTCGTTTCAAGCCACCTTGTTTGAAATCATCTCGGCTTGGGGCACCATGCCCAATTAGGCTGTAATCTGCCAGCACAGCCTTGTAGGACTTCATCCATTTAGGAACAGGACAGTTCACCAAACTGTCCACAAGAGAAAGGCCCACTTTTTCACTTAATATGAGGATAGATTTTGTAGGAAATTGCACGTTAATGACTGATCTAAACCTCACATAAATCTACAGGGTTGGGGTTAATAGCCATTGATAGCAAAAGCTGAAAAAGCAGGTCAGACGTTCAAAAAGATTTGTCTCTTTTCTCCCATTTTCAAAATGTTGAAGTATTTTCCTGGCAATTCAGATTAATGACTTCTTCATGCAGCTCTGAAACTGATTTAAAGAGAAGTAATAATTTAAATAAAAGAAAAAAGGAATCTTTCCATTTTCCTTTTTTTTTTTTTTCCCCTGCCATTCTGGTCTCAGTTTTACTTTGCCATTAGCAAGGCCCCTTCTATCGACTTTCTTCCTGCTGCTGTGGCCACTGAGAACAGCTAATTAATGGTGATACAACAGCAGAGCAATAAACTGTTTCCAATAAGTTCCCCATTGCTTTTCAATGGCAAGACCAACTCTTCTTTTGAAACAACAACAACAAAAAAGGAACAATAAAAAACTCTTGACAGGTTCCCTTTAAAGACAAGAAATCAAGGACAAAACGGCACTGGAAAGCTATTTTGCATCCTACCTTTCATGTCAATTAGGGTTCATTGCCATTACTTGCCCAGAGAATACTAATGCAATCTGGGGTTCCTTGCTATAAATAACACGCAGCCAATGCACATGGCTGGGGAACATGTTGCCTTTTTTTTTTTTTTTCACTGTCAAAATGAAATAAATAATAAATGAAATAAAAAGTGATCCAAAAGAAAAAAAAAAAAAAAAAAAGAAAAAGATGGTTTGGAAACAGGAAAAAGCTGTAAGCCCGAATTGGATGAGATTTGCAGCCTGTTGCTAGTAATGATCATTTATGGATGTGGAAACTTTCAATCCTCCAAACTAACAAAGCTCCCCTTTGGAAGAAAAACAAACAAAGAATACTCCATAAAATGGTAAATATTGCTTCGATACAATGAGGAGTTTTCTTGGAAAACTTAGGAAAAACAGCATTAGCATCCACCTCCTGCCAGTGACTTGGCAGGCGGGCGCAGGCTTGGCAGGGGACCCTCACCCCAGGTGTGAAAATTGTGAAAACAAGTGAGAGGAGGGAGAGGGGCTGCAGCAGCGGCACCTGGGGACTGATCACAGCAGCGGTGGCACCTGCAGTCGCAGGCTGCTCTGCGACCTGCTTTGTGTCCCTGGCGCCTCTCGTGCTCCGGACACGTTAAATAGGAGCCTGGACACGTTGCTGAGAGCTGGGTGCCCACTGGGTGCAGGGATGCGCTGCTGCAGGGGCAGAGACTGCCTCAAAGCACTTGCTGCCTTAACCTTGATTTTTTTTTCTGCAGTGCACAGCCTCTACAGGCTGGAAATGCTTTTGTTTTCATCAAGTTTTTTTTTTAATCTTCCTTTTCTATTCCTTTTTTTTATTCCTTAAGTGGAGCACAGTAAACACAGACTCTGGAAGATAGAAATGCCCTTGGATTCCTGTCTATCCCCCTTCCTGTTGATGCAGATGGGGGCATCTCTGAGATCCCGACCAGGGACCAGGATGCTGCTCCCCTGTGCCGTTACTGGCACCACGGGAGCTGGTGCCTTTACAGCATCCAGGCTCACAGCTCCTCGATTCCCTCTGTGCCGCTTCATAAACACCTCCGAAATACATCTCTAAAATGGAATAACTCTGCCGGGGTCCCGGCAGCCCCCTTGGGCCTCAGGTTTTATTGTCACTACATCAGGATTTTAGCAGCAGGTCCTACTGCCCAGTGAGCCGAGGCACCCGGTGCATGTGCAGTGGATGCTCGGGGACCCAGGATGGGGCAAAATGACGCCTTCCTGAGTGGGCAGCGCCACAGGTGGGATGTTTTGCAGCTAATCCAGCAGGAAGCCTCCCCTGGGAGCATCTTCTCCTTCCTCTCATCTCCCTCCTCCAACTCAGAAAGCTCAAGCTCTCCCTTGCTTCCACCTTAGTGGCATTTCAGCTGGCAGAGGGCCACGAGCTGGGCTGAAAGGACCACCCAGGTCCATCAGGTCCTAGGTGTCCCATCTCCATCGGAATTAGCTCCGAATTAGCTCCGATCCAGCCCCGCAGGGTGCTGGCAGCGGCGCCCTCGCGCTCCCACCGCGCGGACAACGTCCCG